AAAGGTGATTCCAATTATTGGACTAAACCGTATTTCTTTAATCATTAGTGATATGCTAAAAAAAAGTAGCATTATTTCAGTAACACATTTAAAATTTAAAAACCAAACCAAGGATATAACATTTGGAGTAGAACACATAGAAACAAACCAGAGATTATATCTTTGCTCCTAATTGTCCGATTTTAACTTTTTTTTTTTGTTGGTTTGTTAGGAAATTTAAATACCTTTGAAACATCTCATAATAACAACAAAAAATTAAAAACTTTTCGAGTTATTCGGAATTTAATTTTAACATCCCTCGTAACTTTTTTTCCAGCTTCTTTTCGTTGAAGTATGTTATATAGATAAATTTAAAGGGCGTCGAAAAAATGACTTTAGCGAAGTTTCATTGAAATCTGTACATTCGTTTAGGAACTACAGTCTATAGCAACGCAGGTTTTTCGGCCGCCATTTTGAAAGTTAAAGGCGGAGAGTAATGTCGATGAAGGAGGATCATCCTCGGATGACCTCTGATTTTATATCAAAATTTAAAAAAAAACTTTACTAAGCAAATTCTTACTTTAGATTTTTTCTGTCGACTCTGGTAAAATGTGAAGCTACAGTGAATATAAAACGTTGGTGTGAATAGAATATTGCTATCTTGATAATATTGTACTGTACATGCAAATAAACATGTTTCCCTTATGTCGCTAATAAGTCAAATGAATTAAGAGGAGGGATAGCTATGCGATAGTTCTCACTTGAATATACTTTTATATGGAGTTTGCTTTGCGCTATTAAGTTCAACTACTGTAAAATACATTCGGCTGGTTATATCGACAAACTTTCTTTTTATATTTTTCGTTACCATTAAAGGTTTTTTTCCGAATATTCTATTGCTCCCGTAGTAATCTATTATTATTCTGATGATATAAGAGCAAACTATGTTCCTTTGAAAATAAAATAACAGTGGTCCTTACGGAATGAGCATTGTTGATTATTATTTATTTTACATTTTTTAATTTTCTTTATTTGTTTTATTTTTTTCTTCTACATTATCCACACGTCAATATCTAGGTCTGTAGGGAAAGTAGAAGATGGAATAAAATTATTATCCTTTTTTTTTGTCATACAATCAAACGATCTACAAATCCGAATTCTCGTTACTCGATAAGCGGTTATTTTCCTAATTTGATATAAAATATATTAAAACGAAGGTCGCTTTTAGCAAAAATCAAACCTAAGACATTCCTCAAAACAGACTACTACAAATCCCTTCATTAAACGACCATTTATTCTATTTTTGGACGCATTAGATAATAATAGCAACAGCTTTCAAAGTCTGCTACACCGACAAGTTAATGACTGTATCAAATCGCGCCGTCACACAACTCAAAGCTGCGTAAACTCTGTCATTTCTAAATTATCTCACTGCCCGATCCCGGGCAGGACGGACCGTCAAGATTCCTAAACAACTGCCAAAAGAGTTTTGTAGTAATTTGGCAAACGTGGAACGAGCCCTCTTAGCCTAGATTTTTTTTTTTTTTCACTGTTTAAGTCTATTCCAAGAAAGACGTCAGATCGTTCCTTATCTGTCTGAGTTATTATAACTGATCGATAGTAAAGCGAAAGGTACAAACAAAAGTAGGCGTTGATTAAGATCCTAGATCTGCCATGTATTTTTTTTATGGTAATGCAAGTCTCGATATACTCATTACTTTAAAATGAAATAGTGTGCTACTGTACGTTGTTAATTTCCTCTCATTTACATGTGCATACTATTTTTATTTTCATGTTAAATAAGTAATAGATCTAAATAGATCAGTAAATGATCTATAAAACACCGACAATGGTGTTTTAAAATGGATGATTGGTTGCAATAAACAGTGTTCATCGAGAGTCGAAACCGAAGCACATAAGCAATCTGAATCTGTCCTTAAGAGTCGCTTTTATTTTGTAGTAAACCCAAAATAATGAATTAATTTTCATACTCTACCAAGGATAGAATATAAAAGTTTTAGTCTGTAGTGTATCACACTTACGTATTGGATATGAAGGACATAAGAACACTAACGAAAATTAACACATGATTCATACCTATAATTATGTCAAATTCACTCGATATTGTAAGGCTAATAATAATCATCATTAAAACAAGTTACTAGAAAAGTAACCGTCATTAATAAAATTGAAATGATAGTAACATTTCTGAACAGCCCACACAAAAAAAATCCATTTTTTAAAAATATAACAACTGCTAATTTACTTTGAAATGGATACTTTTTTAAAACCTAAGGAGCACTGAATTATAAATGTGTTTAGAGAATTGTAAAAATGTTTGAGTTTTGTGATTTTTTTTGTTTTTGTTCACTCACTTCTGTTGTTAATTAAATCATTAAATTATTTATTAAAATAAGATATTTCGAGCTTATTGTGGTTGACGTGTAATATGTTATAATTTTAATTTATTGATTTTTTTAAAATTTATTATTTCATTTCAATCAAAAAGTTTAAAATCAATAGTAAACGATTCGATCCATTTCTTGATACATATATCCTGTTTTTTACCTGTAGCATGTACAAATAAAAATATGTTTCAGTTATATTTATAAATGATATAACTGAGGATATAAAAATATATCAAACTAACATATTTTTTAATTTATTCTTTTCTGGAACTGTGCAATAGCGCAGTTCCCATAAATCTATTGCATTTTATGTGGTCGATTATTTTTCCACGAATTCGCTTCATAATGACCTTATTGGTTATTGATAAAGGATCAGATCATTGAGCCATTTTGTTTTAAACCGTTATCGCCGAAGAAGTAACAGGGAGTAACTACATATTAATTGTGTTGTTAGGAACTCACATGGAGTAATTTTCAAGCTGACTTTGATACTATCTTAGGTGACGCATTTTGTGCTCCTAATAGTTTTATAATTTTTTGATAACCATCTGGAGTAGACAGAAATGGTCTGTCTGAATTATGTTGGAAAGTCGGTAAAATCTGTGAGGTCTGATTACGGTTAATAATTTTTGCCATAAGTCATTGAAGTTTTTCAACGTATTTCATGTGAATAAGATGGGGCCTTGAAGTATTGGAGTATTTGTCTTGAGTGCTAGATAGTTGAATGGAGTAACAGTTATTAATTTAAAGCAGACAGTAATTTTGATTTCTGAATGGTTCTCTTGATACGACTAGGTAATTCTGATTTGTCTTTTTTTATAAAATATTTAGGACTGTAGGTGTTCTTTTTCTATTAGTTACTACTTTTGGATTTTGAGCTTTGGTCATCCTAATAGACTAAATATGATTTGGTGTCTGATTTAGCATGGTGGATGATCTTTTTTATATGTAGCAGTCGACAGCCTTTCTTACTAAACTAATAAACAATCTCTAACCTTCTGATTTTGAAGAGAGAGTATTTGTTTTTGAACCAACTTTGAAAGGTGTTCTTCTTGTCTTTCATCACTTCTATCTATAAGAATTTTCTTTTTTTTTAATGACACGTAAATCGAGATTACATAAATTAGAGGCATAAAACATATAAATTTTAATGATTGTGAGTAATAATGAATAATATAGTGAAGAATTGAAGAAAAGGATGGTTGGTTAGATCAGTCAAAACAAAAAATGGCAAAAATAAATAATAATATTTATTTTAACATTTTCAGACATTTCGGCCCGAAGTTCAGGCCTTCATCAGGGCTAAGAAAAGAAACTTCGATAAATTTTAATAGTTTTATTTGTTGTAAATGATAAATTATATTTTCATTATATTGGTAGTTATTTAGGAAGATTTTGGGCCTCATAACATCATAGAACGATCGAAAAGAACGTATCAGTAACTATTGAAGGCGATTAATAGGGGAATCTGCAGGAAATCATCCCGTTTATATTTTAATCAGTCGCTTTAAATATAGCGCAGGGACAAACCTGTAAGTATATTAGCGAACCAATCCAGTATTCAAGACCTTAATATCATCACTTCCAAATGTGAGCTGACAAAATACGTTGGGATTTTAATTAATTAACTTTAATTTTTAGGTTTTATTTTTTATTTTTAGGGATTCAACCATTAGAGTCATTATCGCCCTATTCTCATCGAGAACTATATTGTATTCTCAAGTCCAGAACATTTTAGAAAAGAAAACAGTTTATTAACCTCATTCGTATTGTCCTGTAAAATGGAGTGTAGATCGTTCGTCAAGTCACAAGAGAGTCTAAATGTTTCGTAAGTTCTGCATTCTGTTAAGATGTGTTTCACTGTTAGTGGAGTCCCACAAGTTTGGCACGTTGGCGAAGAATCACGGGTCATCAGGTATCCATGGGTAAGCCGTGTATGACCTATACGTAGCAGCGTAAGAATTACTTTCTCTCTACGGTTATTCCTATTTGACGATGCCCAAGAGGTAACGTCACCCTTAACCTTCCTCAATTTATTTCGGTTACATTCGACCATATCTGTTCCCATTTTGTTCTCATTCTCCGCTTCATGACATTTACAAAATCCTCTACAGGTATTCCATCAGTAATGGCTTAATTTTTAGGTTTAATTAATCACTATAAGTGGATTATAGGTATAAAGCAATAACTGGATCTCAGTATTCACTTAAGAGAAGACTGCTTTATATTTTATGTTATATAGATAAGATTGTGAATAAAAAACAGTATATATTTTTACTAAAGCGATAAAAGATAATAATAATAAAAGAAATGTCTACTGTGAAGTACCATATTTTCTCTAAGTAGTTTAAAAGAAAAAAAAAACTAAGTAATGAATGTATCTTCAGCATGTAAAGCATAGCTCTCGAATAGAAAGAAAAACTGTAGTTCGATAAGAAGATTGTAAAGGTGTGCTGACTCCACAAGACTTGAGACATTCCTCGATCGCGGTTCGGCCAAAGTGGTTTTTAAAGCTGAAATATTCGGGACAGATCGCATTGAAGGAGGATAAAATCCCGCCATAAAATAGAGATAGCGCTTTGACGGGACCAACGGCGGTGTCTTATTTAGTCCCTACTTTGGGATTGTGCCATCTCTGTGACGGCACTTCTGGCGAAATGGTCCCCGTTCAGGCCTCACTCGGTTAATGTCTCCGTTCGCTTCCTTGTAAACATTGGGAGGAGCTCTGATTGGCCAGGCTCTATCAAAGGCAATACTTAATTCAAGTCTTAATGAATAATACATTAATCAGAATTATTTATACTAGTGTTACTATTAACATATTATTTTCTTCAATTTCGGAACAAAAAATCATCGATAAAATTGAAAGACACCTATCAATAATAAAACAACATATCGGCAGTGTTAAAACACTATAGCGAAAACGCTTGAACGAAGTAATTTAGATTATTTGTGGGGTCATACGTATGTCGAGAATATGTCATACCCAATAATTCTCCAATCTTTCCAACCTAATAAGTTAAATATAAATCAACTCTTTATTTTATAATAAAAAACTATGTAAATTTAATAAACAAAAAAAAAATAAAAAAGGTTTTCTCTGCGCAGAAATGCGCCAGTGCAAATGAATTGTGAAGAGACAAAACATTTGTTTAGAGCTTCATAAAAAAAATAGGGAACACATATGCAAATATAAATTAATATATACATATATATTTAAGTAAAAACTTCTTTAGGAGCATTTTGCATTTTTTTTTGTGCAGAGTGAATTAGACAGATCCGTCAGATTTCCGAAGTTTTAATGCTCAGGTAAAATCGGCTAGAGTCGAGTAATTGAAATGTTTTACATATGGATTAAAATTTTGAGATATTTTAATCTGACGTTTTTTTAAAAAAAATTTACACATAATAAGTGCGACATTTATTTATACATATATTTTAAGCTGTTTAAAAAATATTTATATATATTTACAAAAATATGAAAGCCCAAGATTTATGTAACAGGAGTTTCCCAATTTTTTCGAAACCTTGGGGCAATCCTGGCAAGATTGGACGAATAGAAGAAATTTCTGAGCCCTCTCGAACTGAGAAAAATCCATCGAAAACGAAAGATTGAAGAATCAGGAAGTATGTGCGCGGTAGTATGGAATTGAGTTTAATGAGAAAACCTTGGTACCAGACTTTATGGAACGTCTGAGCGACATCCAAAAATATACCAGAGCATACAGTTCTCGTTCTAAAGCTCCAGCAATGTCTGTCACTTTGTGTAACTGATGTATTGTCGAATGGAATGTGGGAAAGCCAAACTGATGGTCAGGAATTATTTGTTGGTCAGTCAGTATATCAACAAGTATTTTGAATATAAATTTTTCAATTGTTTTGGAACAAATTGGAAGAAGGCTAATTGGTCTAATTGTGCATTTTTTTGCCTGGTTTGTGTAGCATTTTTAATGAGTGAGTATTTCCATTGTAATGGAAATTTTGATGTCCTGAGTATACAGTTGTAAATCGTTGTCAGAAATACTAGAACTTTCTAAAAAGTTAAAGGTTTAAAATTAGAACTAAAAGCAATAATTACTACAGTTTTTATTTAATTATGCAAGCAATTAATACGTATGAAAAACTTATCAAAGACCCTGTTTACCCGATTCCTGCTCCACATTTTGCAAGCCTTCTAACTTTTTGTTTATAAGTTAATGACGAGGATATTAATCAGAATCTTATGTTATTTATTCGTGGAAATAAATATATCTGGTGCTCTCAAATTATTAAAAGAACTAAGAGTTTCCAAATTCACCGATTATAATTGGTATTACTACAAAGAAAATTATAATAAAGCCATGTGCTGTTACTACTGCATTATAAATTTCATATATGTAAATCAAGACAAATTTGACCAGCTTGCCAAGATTTCAAAATCGAGACTAACTTCGGGAATAGTAATTTTATATGTAGATATTAAATAAAAACAATAATTAAGAAAAACTTTAAAATTTCACATTAAATTGAATTAAAAGCAACAAAAACATAATTCACGCGAATCAATTCAACCGTCTTAAAGAAAACTTAAACAAAAAAAGATTAGAGTTGTTAAATTATAATTTTTTTTTTTTTTGTATTACAACAATCTGTCTCTTGGACATTGGTTATAGTGAGGCAGGATGACATTCGCACTATATGTAAAAAAATAATAAAATAAATAATAATCAAAAGTATATACAATAAACTATAATTTAATATTATTATTAATTATATTATAATATTATTGCTAATGGCAATCTATCTTTAAGGTGTTTATATAAATATAATATCTATTCCACTCCCTCTAACCGCCAGACGCGGGTACCCCTCAATATTTATATATGAAGAGGTCAGGATCATGTACGTTGCCAGCAACTCATGAAGGCTCTTCTTTATGTCATATCCTAAATAAACAAGAACGAGCCAAATTTACTGAACTGTATGAAGAGCCAAGATCTTAAACATAACGAAATCTGACAAAGATTTATGTTCAAGGAAGAATTCCTCATACTTGAATAAAATGAAAACAAAATGTTAACTTAACTTTTAAACGATTTAATATAATTATTCGTCCATCTTATCTTATAATTAGTTATTTCTCTCATATAAATGCAAAGATCCTTTACATAGATATTGCTCTTAGTAAATAAAAAGTAAAAATACCACAAAAAATGAGCTAACATGAAAAAGCAATAAATTCTTTTAAATATGATATCACGAATCGCATTAAGACCTAGATGGTAAAAAAAAAATAATAAAAATGATGTGTTTGAAAATGGCTCGAATTTAAAATCTGAAACTTTACAATCTAATTAACGTTTTAAAAAAACAAAACAAAAATATTAATATCTTATTATTGTTTAAAATAAAAAGAGGTTAAATTTATCAATTAATTAACGATTAAAAAAAATTTATTAGAATCTGAAAACTGTCATTTCACCATTATAAATTACTTTTTTCAAGATTTATTATAGGTATACAAATCCAAAATTTCTAGATCATTATTTTTTTTTTTTTTTTAGTTTTCCATGCCCGATTCGCCAACACAATATTGTCACCACAAGTATGAAATGAAGAGAAAAGAAAATCTATGACGGAAAAGAATGATGTGATGACGTGGAAAAACATTTTTTTAAAAATATTTTCGATCCACTTCTGAACTGAAAATATTATTTCTAAATTTTGGTATGCCTGAACTACATTTTGGATTTTTTTAAATCAATAAATAATAATTTATCATAAATAGGTGCCCATCTCCTCTTCTTGAAAACAGTGCAAAAGTAAGTATGATTAAAAAAATCGCATATCGTATACCATTACACTTGCTGTGATTTTTTCACATGATCGTTGGTTAGAAACTTATCACTCCAAAAATTCACAACCCCGTAGTCGAAATGTACACCCTCAAAAATTCAATATCCCGTTAAAATCGGCTTTCTCAAATATTTTGATGTTTTTGATGTACCTCAATCAAACCCCCTTTTGTACACCCACTGTTGTTGTTACTACATTTTAAATTAACATATAAATTCGATTTACCTAATTTTAATAATGTTTGTTTTAATTTTTTCATATTAGAAGAAATAGTGTATTGTATGAACACTAATAAAAAAAAAATTCTGTATTTAAATAAAGTTAATAATATTTTAACACAGGTGTATAGATAAATACTTTATATAGGAAACGAATGAAAACTATGACAAGCAAGCCGGTTGTTTGATTATTGTGTATATATCGCCGAATATATTGAAATATTACTTTTACATTCTTAAATAGCTTAATGAGAAATATATTTCAGAAAAAATAAAGTGTGTTCCTGTTGAAATAAAATATATTTAGATATTTAGATACTTCACTATTGTTTTATAATTATATCATCAGATCATATATTATGTTGTTTTTATGTTAATTTTTAGTATAACACAACAAATAAAACTCCAGAAATAATTTAAGAATTTACAATAGACTCTTTTTTGGCACTTGTCTACAGACGGAGAGGTAAAACAAGACTTGAATTATTTATAAGAATCATTTATAAAACCTTGTTTAAATGTTGGCGTTTTGCCATTTTTCAATTTACGGAATGGCTTTAATTCACCTAACGTTGCTGTTAATTAGTCTACTTTGAAGTTAAAAGTATTTTGAAATCTTCTAAATTAAAAAAAAAAAAAAACTTTAGCCATGGTTATGGTCATTTTGAAAGCATTTATTATTAATTTACAAGCATTAATAATATTTTACAGAGGTTCAATTAAATCAAATTGAGTGCTAATTAAATTACTCTTTTAGTATTAAAGATGTGTGAAATTTAACTCAATAGAGACAACCTCAAATTAGTTTTAATTAGTTTTATGTAATATTTTGGTAATTTATTACATATTTTGAGATATTATATTGTATTTCTATCAAGGTTTGATAAGGTTGTAACTAATAACCTTAAAAAAATTTGACTTGGCCTTCTTCCCAAAAGAACTTTTTGAATTTTGTAATTTATGATACATTATAATTTATTTAATACCATAGTCAATGTTCTTTATTTTTCTGGGCAACAAAATAAATCGATTAGTATATATTATCCTAAAAATCCGGGCAAAGCAAAGAAAAATAAATTTTATTGGAAATTCAATAAAATGTTTTTTCTTGACTCATAGAATCCATTGGATCGAACGTCGGACATAAGTTTAATATTTATCAATATTAATTTGGCTGAATTCAATGACCAAGAAGAAAAGTGTTATATTGTAGCGTTCAATATTATTGAAATTATGTTATTGAGTAAAATAACATCCCGTCACATATAGTATTGCCCAAAAATTGTCTTGATCTTACAGTTTTAATCTTGTCATTGCATTTTCGCAAGACCAAGACCTACTAATTGTTGCAAGATCAAGACCACGAATGATCTTGCGAGACTTAAGCAACAACAAGACTGATCTGCACGACTGGTGTCTCCACGATTTATTCAATCTAACAACAAAGTTGATCATTATACCGCTAAAAACGATTGCATTTTGAGATATATATATAGTGCAGTGGTTTAATATTTTAACCTTGCATTAAACGACAGTTTTTTTTTTCAAATAGTATATTTGAGTTTATTGCAAAAACTAAAACATTTGGCATGACTGAACCGGGATAAAAAAATAATAAAACTTCGTTTAAGTAAATAAAAAAAAGTCAAAATAGTTAACGAAAATTTTTTAAATATTGTTCTAATGTCTGAGCAACTCAGTTTTATTAATTTAGTTGGACATTACCATGGGTAATTAAATATTAGCTCGAGATGTACATACTATGTTCTATGATTTAAACTAGCGTGATCAACGAATACCGATGGGCTAATAGGTAATTGAAAAACTGTGGGACTCTTGCTGCAAGACCGAAACCAAGAACAAGACTGAGTTTGCAATACCAATGCCAAGACTAGGTGACTTGATAGAAGGCCAAAACCAAAACTGGTTAAGAACGTCTTGGTCTTGGATTTAGGCAATACTAATCACAATAGTTATAATGAGAGAAGAGTTCATTTATTTAAATCATATTTATAATACCCAAGGGAACTTCAAACTAGACTTGTCTCACCGCCAGTAGAGATGTCCACCTCATATATAATTAGAAGCTTTCTTTTTTTTTTTTTTTAATCTGTTTATTGAATAATAATACAATCAGCCACTGCTGGAGGGCTATAAGCATTAGGGCTAAAAGTTCTCATTCATACAATATATACAAATAATAAAGAAATAAATATAAATATAATAAGTAAATAAATAATACTGGTGAAGAAGAATAATTAGAAGCTAGAGATAGATATCTGAAAGTATTTAATTTAAGGAAATGACCATAGTTTAATTCTCATAACTCAGACAAATAAAAGTATAGACTTGAAATGAAATGAGCATTGTTTTGACAACTGAGCAGTGAAAGTATCATAATTAGATGAATTCTTGAAGGAAGTTAGTCGACTGTTCTACATATCATGGGCTATAAATATTAGTAAAATAAATTAGTAAATATTAGTAAAATAAATTAGTAAATATTAGTATAATAAACGGTCTTTTTAAATTTTTTATTATTTACGCCAACGTTTCAACCCAAACATGGTCATCTTCAGGGCTGATTTTTTTTAAAAATACAATCAGAGATATAATAGTATACGACCGATAATGATAAATAATAAACTATAGTGATTGATGGTACATGAATCTTAACTAATTTTGCAATACACATATTAAAAATGAAAATGAAATTTTGTAATATTTGGAGTTAAGAAATATTAGAAATTTGTATAAATGGATTTTATACATTATTTTTTAATTTTTAGTTTGTATAACTATTTACACATTTCATTTTTAATATGTGTATTGCAAAATTAGTTAAGATTCATGTACCATCAATCAATATAGTTTATTATTTATCATTATCGGTCGTATACTATTTTATCTTTGTTGTATTTTTAAAAAAAATCAGCACTGAAGATGAGCCACATGTTTCGGTTGAAACGTTAGCATAAATAATAAAAAAATTAAAAAAAACTGCATCTGAATATTTATCACCTATCATAATTAGAAGTGATCATCTTAAAGATTTTACAGTCTCTTGATATGTAAACCCCACTCTGCAATTACTAAACCGTACTGTAGTTAATAATTGTCATAGGGATGATATTTCATCATAAACCACAATTCTGTCGATGATGCATAATTAACTGAAATAAACAATTTCTTTATATTTATATCTAGTGAAATATATTTAGAGTACTCACACATCTCCTCTCCAAGGACCCAGATGAGTGGTTCGGAGTTGACCTCGACGAGAACTGTAGGCGTGCAGACCAAGAGGACCATGAGGTCAGCGACGCTGAGGTTGATGAGGAAGATGTTGGTGGAGTTGCGCATGTCCTTGGTCTTGACGATGACTAGGGGTACCATGACGTTGCCGACGACTCCAATGCCCAGGATAACGACGCAGAGGAGGATGTAGGCTGCCCTCACGTAGGGCGGGAAGAGGAGGCCACCCCCGTACGTCGAGTTGCCGGCTGCCTCAGCGCTCTCGTTCCCGGCCGCGATCATGCGGTGAACGCCTCTCCCACCTCCGCCCCTGCAAGCAAATAGTCCGCCTTTATTAATAAAAGAAATATAATCCACTGAAAATATATATAGAAGAATAAACTTTATTCTGGAACAAAGTCCCTTGAGAATAACAAAGTTGATCACTAAAATTAACATTAAATCTGGTCAAAATACACATTAAAATTAAAGAGTAACTAAAACACTAGTTGGCCCATGCGAATAATTCGCAGATAATTTTGTTTAGTGAAGAATTTTTTTATTTATTTATTCAGTCACGGGAACAATAATTATATTGATAAATGAACACATTCACAACGTGTATACAAATAAAAAATTAAATTAACAAAAGTAAAATAATAATAAATAAAAACTATATACAATAAAAAAATAAAATAACCTAAATATAAGTAAATTAAAAACATAAAAATACAGTAAGTGAAGAAATAGAAAAACAATATGGAAATAAGTAGATTCTATGTATTGTGGAAGGAAGAAATTAATATTTTTTCCTTAGTCAATTACTATTTACGCCGCATACGCTCAGATCTTTATTTTTTTCCTCACTATTTACCCCTTTTTAAGCGTTAATAATAAAAGGTTTATTTATTTATTTATTTTTTTTTGGTAAAAAACTGAGAGACAATTGTCTCAGAAATGTATTTAGGCTTATAGTATTTATATATTCAGGTTTATTTTGCGTTGTATTATCGCGTTGTATATACATCCCAGCCCCAGCCATATAATACCCAGTCTTAGGGATTAAGACATCGAAATACTGCCGGAAAGCCAGTCTGGAGCGAGATACCGTTCGTGTTGGACGTCTACCACCACTATTTTCACCAGTTCCAGGCTCGTCTCGTCTCGTCTTACAGCACCTAGCGCCATTTTGAAGAGCCCAGCTGAGTCATCGATCGCGATCAATATACTAATCGATTCCCCGCCACCGATTGCTTTAACAGTTAAACATCGTAGAAGGTAACCTCTTTGGAAGCAGAACCTCCAACGTGGCTCGTTTTTATTTTTTTTTATTCTCCACCGTCACGAAAGACAGTAAATTACTTTAATTTTTTCCAGGCTAAATTAGTTTTTTAAAAGTTTTTCTAGACGTTGACTCGTATTATAGATATTTTTTTTTCTTATTACTGATTTACAATTTTAGAAGTTGATTTCATTTTTGTTTTATTAATAATTCTTAATTTGTTTTATGTTTTGTGTTTTTTATTCATTTCAGTGAATTTCATACCATTGTTTATTTTGTTTTTTAACTTTTGAATATATCTCTTTTATTTAATATTACATGTTGTAAACATTCAAAAAGAGGATTTATACTTATTTTCCATTTCTACTAATTGAAATATTTCTATTTTTTAATATTTTCTTGTGCATGCGTTTTTTTCTTTTTTACAGGTCTCATTCTCACTCATTTTTTTCCTTCTTTCCCATTTAATTTTACTCGAATTTTCCCACCTTTAAGGAAACTCACCGGGGAAAGGTTTGTATTTTCAATTTTGAATTAGCCCTGGCCCCAACAATTACAATATTCTATTTCACATAATAGACCAAAAAAATTGCACAAATTGGTTTGCTAGATTTGCTATTTTTAAACGCTGACTGGAAAGGTAATGAAAATATAATAAAGCATAATCATGGGATTTTCTAAATTATTGAAAAAAAAAAAATGTAATAACAAACAAATGCCTTTAAGAAATAATAAATCAGCCAGGAAAAAAAATGTAGTAGAATAGTAAATGCAATATCTTTAAAGAGGAAGAAATAATTAAGCGTACCAAAACTAATGGACTGTATCTTTGTTAATAATTGTCCGATTTTTACATTTTTTTTGTTTTGTAGGTTATTTAATAATATTTATAATTATTGTTTATGAAAAGAAGAACTTATGGCGTATCGATAAAAAAAAGGAACCTTTTACGCAATAACTTTACTTTTCATTATGATGTTTTTGCCTGGTGTTAACTAAAACATTCACAGCTGCTCAGGATTTTATTCTAATTCAATGTTTCTACTATCGTTGGAAAGCGGAATTATCGCTCTTAAAGACCGTATAGATAACTTTTTGATTTAGTAATAAAGGGTAAATAAAAAAAAACTCCTAACAGATTTTTATTTTATAAATTGAGTTCTAAATTATTTAGGTTTTGTGTCAATTAGTGTAGTTTATAAGGCCCTATATCCCTGAAAAACATTGTGTAAATAGGCGGAAGCATATTAAAGTTATCACACATTTGTGATTTTAAAAATAATAATAATAAGAGGGGGGGGTGGATGCCTTAGGTCAAATTTGGAGAAATTTTTTTTTTTTCGATCGCAATGAAAATTCGTATTCGAGAGTATTTTGAGGTGTGAAATGCAAATCTTAACTCTGTTTCTCCTTAAAAAAATATTTCAACACACTTTACTCGATCAGTTTTGATGATTTCTATTATTTGTTTTGTAGGGAATTAAGGAAATTATCAAATAATAATCGGTCTAATCAAGGAAAACATATATTCTTTTTAAGTAATTCGCAAATACATTTTTGATTCATATATAACTTTTTTTCTGAAATTTCGGATGGATGGTACTATGATTCGTCACTACTCCATTTAATACCCTTTCATTCGATACCTCATCCATCAAAATACATCGCTCCTGAAAGCCGGATAAGGGATCGGTATGGCAAAAAAATTCGTATTTTATTATAATATAGATAAGTAATAAGAGAAGTATTTACATACCTATAATGATATATTAGAGAAAACAGATGAACAATAAGGACACAATACTGCAAAAAAGCTACTACAAACAATAAAGTAAGAAATAAATAAATGAAATTGGAAAAGAACGATAACTTACTTTTGTAGCCGAACTTTTGTAGTAATCAAAGTAATAATAATAATAAAAAAAACAGAGATGTCCAAAAATGAAATTTAACGCTCAAGAACGGCCATATATTAGATTTGTCAAGACGTTACATCAAGGCCTCACTGAATAATTTGGTAGTTAGTCAAATTCCTAGATGAAGCTTCGGAAATATTAGGCCCAGTGGAAAAAATTTCCAGGAAATGATACCTAGTCCGAACTATGCCAAGTTTTCACAGTTAAACAAATTTAGCGTCAAAAGTGAAAAAAAAATATATATTAAGATCGAGTAGAATTTATACAAGTTTGATTTATAGAGGAAACTGACGGTTTACGATTTTTTGTAAACTAGATATTAATGACTTGAAAATTGAATTCGGATCTTACAGTGTTCAGAACTGTTCGTAGATGATATAATACTGCAAAAAAGCTACTACAAACAATAAAGTAAGAAATAAATAAAGGAAATTGGAAAAGAACGATAACTTACTTTTGTAGCCGAACCTTTGTAGTAATCAAAATAATAATAATAATAAAAAAAACATAGATAAATATTTACAATTTACATCTGCAACACCTTGATATATTCAAATGAGTACTTATAATAGTATTGTAAACATTAGTATGTGCTAGGACGTATATTGAAAGGAGAAGACAAAAGGAAGTCAAAAAAAGATAATATAAAAATAAAGAAGTGCGTCCAATATTAGTAAAAAATTCAATATGTCTCAAAGACTTGAAATCTTATATAATACATATGCTTGGGATCGATTATTTGCTCATCTATTTCTAAGAAATCACTCACTAAAGCGGTCACCAAACTATAAATTAATTATAGTGTGGTCATACTGTAACTACATAATAGATTTAAATATAAGCGAGGTGCTGCTATTAAACAATGATACTGATGATATGAAAAAATTATTTTTATTTTATACATATTTAATTAATATCACATTCAATATACTACTCTCTTATTTATTTTAAACCCATACGCTAGAAATGGCTAGGTAGGGCGAAAAAAAAGACCTCCTTATCTCTCAACCAAGCTTCACGCGAATCTTCTATTGTCTGAAACAGTGCTGGAAGTATTCTGTCGGTGCACAGTCCAATGAATATCGAAAAAAACACAATCATTGCATTGAATTTTGATTTGCTCAATCGAGCTTGTTTGGATTTCGATAAAGCCGCTTCCAGTGAGTGGAATGGCGCTTCGTTTTAGAATCATAAATAAAAAAAAAAACAAGTAATAAGTAAAAAAAAAAATCGTCAATCAACATTAAAATGAACAAGATTCTAAGCTGTGAAAGAGAAAGCGGCGTGCGTGCGCCGTGTGAAGGAGCTGTCAGCAGTAGACTTCCATCACAGTTAAAGACAATGGAAGATTCGAATGGAGCGTTGGCATTCGTAAAAGTTGACACCTGGGATGCACCAACTCAACGTATTAAAAAGGCGGTAGGCCTCATCGAAAAAGATATAAAATAATCAGGAGGGCTAAAGTGACTCTTCAAAGAAGAAGCCGAAAATTTGTAAAAGCCATTGATGGTATTTCGAAAATCTATTATAATAAGACTTCTTTAACCGAAATGTAATACGTTTTGTTTATTGCTGAAATTTTTTTTTTGGAAGCCAAGAAAGTTTAAACAACTGAAAATTTGAAGATTGGCCCTTCCCCTCGACTCACTCTATACATGTGAAATATATCATTTGTAGTAAATTAAAAAAAAAAAAAAAACCGTCTGCCAAGTAAGGTCAGTATAGCTTCCTCACCGTTTGCATTGGCTAAAAAATACCTACATTACATGGTCTAAAATTTTTCGCGTAAGAATAAAATGTCAGGAAGAAGCCGTTTTCGGAAATTCAGTAATCCCTCAACATATACGGGTTTGATATCCAAGAGTTTTGTTCAACAGCCAATAACTAATTGTTTCGTTATGATTTATTAGTATAAATATAATTTCATAATTGATTGCCCTCTGCTATTTTTCATCGTAGCATTGGTTTACGATATTTTACACTAACTGTAATAATATTTACTTAATCGACATGGTTTCACTCCTAAAATGGATGGAACCAAAAACCCATTGGAAAAGTTTCAACTTGTCTGCAGTCATAATAAAACCAATTTAAGCTGGAATATA